AAAGTGTTAGTGCAGCGTATTAGCCACTGCCTGCTGAATCAACTCTGATGGAATTTTAGTTTCTCTTGGGACATTCAGCATGCATCTCCTATGATAGGTAGGTGGACAGGAAGAACAGCCTGAGACCACATAAAAGCAACAGCGGTTTCTAAAACTGTTTTCACTGTGAAGCAGATGAGGTACAAGATGGTTATAGGTAAGAACTAAAATGCGTATTGTACCCACCAGGAATCAGAGAAAATGCGTTATACCATATAAGTTTACCACGTGTGCAGATTGCTTACTGCCTTCCTTATTCCCCCCCCCCCCCCCCCCAGTTCTTTTTGTTTTTAATAAAACATTCTAAGTTTTATGAAAGATGACTGTTACAGCTTTTATCAGTTATGGTACAATTTAAGTAATAATATTTGTTCTTCTAGTATACTCAGGATATGTTGTATAAGTCATTAATCTGTTACTTCTCTTTTATGCCTGGAAGGCAAAGGCAGCCACTTAAAGCATATCTTGACATTATTTTCTCTAAGAGCAAAGAGGGTTTCATACATTTTGCAGCTGTGCTCCAAATAAAGATGCATAATTTTGAAATACACATTTATTTTTATTCTTACAGAAATTGTCGCTCTTCTACAACTTGTCTCCTACAACTACTTAAGAAATGTAATTAAATAAACTGTAATGAAAGAGCTTCTCTCACTGGGAAGCCATTCTAGTGTCCAACACATTCCACAGTTGTGTCTTCCCAGGTATTATAATTAAGTGTGCTTGTTTATAACCCTTCACAGACAATGTGGTTTCAAGCTCCACCCTAAATATTCATCATCATCTTACTTGCATCTAAATATTTTCAAGTTATCATCACTTGTTCTTCTTTTTTTAGGGAAGTCACTACTTCCCTAAAATGGAGTTCAAGTTTGTATACAGTAATGTAAGTGTGGGAGGTATTTGGTGAACTGCTATGTACGGAGACCAAATACAGAGCCAGCCATTAACTTTCTGTTTATATACACGTTACAAAAACCTGTAATTTACAAATGGGAGATTCTGAAGCATAAAAAACAATTTTTCATCAAACTAGCACTTTCCATTTATAGGTAACTTAGCTGTATACCTGATACATAAGAACAGAAGCCATATACTCTCTAAGCAATACAATAAAAACCAGTCTAAGCAAAATTCCTCTCGATTTCATTTTACTTGCAAGGCAATGATATCACTGAAATCTAGGACTCCATGACAACTTCACCTGTATCCTTATCATAGCAGCACCTTTTGGATGTAGTAAAAACATGAGAGGTATCTCTTCTCACCACACTTTTCTCCAGCAGTCATTCTGTGATTAATATTGTTCAGCCTTTTTGTCTTTTGCTTGTACTGGAAAGAATGATAAAACGTGGGAAAACTCTGGAGGAAGGTATTTCAGATACCCCTGGATTAGAGATTTGATCTGCATAAACCCTGCTGTAAATAAAAGTCTACTGACAGTGAAACTCTTACCAAATGCACATGCCTTTCAAGAAACAAAGTATCAATATTTTTTTTCACATATGGCAAACATATTCCTGAGAAGCTACACGAGCAGCAACAGAAAGAAAATACGGAAGTAGTAAGCCAAACAAATGAAGAAAAAAATCCCCTCTCTTCAGCAATTCTAGACCATTCTTGCCTAGGTTAATCCAGAGAAAGAGGACACAGCAGCATTTACAACAGGACTGCAATTCCCTTAACAGGGCTTACCATTACTAGCATACTTTACCAATGCAGGAATTTCATTCTGCTATTACTGCTACAGAATCAGGGTGCTACCAGTCACTAGTTGTATTCGGTTTCAGTGATTAAAATCAAAAGTTCTTATTTCATAATAATTTCATTGTATAATGTTTGTTCAAAAAAAACCCAAACCAAACAGGAGTGTAAATCAGAAGTAACTGCAGTACCGCTTCTGTGAGTTGTAATTTGGTAATTGCCAAGATAGAATTCAAAATACAGCAATAACTGTAGCATGTTAAATCTCCGGAGAACTCTCTCATTTACGTTTGATCTGGTACTGAAAAGAGAAAGCTACTTTGCCCATAATAAAATGCCTAATCCAGTTCTCTATTTGCAGATGGATTTTCATACTTTCCTGATGACCTCTGGAAGTACAACCTATTTCAGTATGCAGCTGGTTTTGGTCACTTTGCTTTACACCTCCGCCAAATGTTTGTAAACAAAATTGTGGCTTTTTAGACCACCCACCTTTGGAGACTGCTACAGTGGCTGAAAAGGAGAGGCCAGCTCCTTCTCCGAAAACTAAGCAATTCAAAATCAAGCAATAAACTTTCTTGATTAGCAATAGCTGCAACCTATTTTACACCTTTGTTTTTAGAAACAGTCATCTTGATATTATGACATTCCATAACATACTGTTTCATTATCATACTAAAACAATAATCACATTAGCAAGGTTCCTGTCTCCTTTCCTCGCATCAAGAGCTACACGCAGATATTCCTTTTAATTGCTTCCAGAGGAACATCTGGTCCTACCAATGCAATTGTAACAGACCACAGTGCATCTCTGGGTATACCTGACCACTACATACAGCTCAAATAAGCTTGGTTTTGGGAAGTCAATAAACCATTTCAGCCGGAAACATTACTGAAACAGCCTGGATTCCCAAACAACTCTAATAGTCCTTCTGCTTGCAGCGTGACAATGAGTTTTCAAAAATGTGCTAGAATCAGCCACTTCTGAAAGCTGTTTTGATATACATGTGATAAGTATTAGTAAGAATATGGTTCAAGACATCAGACACTGCCCACAGAAAGCAAATACTTAATGGTTCAGATTGTAAAAGAACAACAACCAGAGAAGAACAATCTGGACATAAAAGGACACCCAGAAAAATTAAGATAAAAGGTAGTCTAACAGAGGCAAGCCTAACCACCATTACATAAATCAGAATCATCATTGCTGGAAACTTTTGGCTGATAAAGCTGGATATTTTTCAAGTCTAGCTACCTAAAGGTTTCATTGGTTGTTGAGCATATTGGTTCTGTAGAAGCATCACTTCTAGTCCTGTCCTCCCATCATTTCCTGAGTCTGACACTTTCTCTTTGGGAACTCAAAGACTGAAGCTCTGCATTATTATACTGTGAAAGACAGAACACGGTTTCTGTGGTTGACTGCAATGGAAGATCCTCACTGATAATCCGCTGCCTTCAGGGGAAGCGTGCGTGTTGGCTTTATTAAGACCCGGAACAGCAGTAGCTTAGCTTTTAGACTCGTAAGAACATAAAGCAACACTGGAACAGATCAAATATCCATCTCTGACAGCAACCAACAGTAAAGAATGTAAGCCCAGAAAAGCACAGATATTGTCCCTACTGTAGTTTCAGTACTTCCTGCAGAGGTGCCACCTCAGGTATGTAACACTCCCCAGTGCATTTTTCAGACTAATTTGCAGAGTCCTTTTCTGAATTCATAGACATCTCAGCATGCACTGTATCCTGTGCCAAGATGTTCCACAGCTTAACTGTGGACTGCGTGAAATGCAGCATTGTTTTCCTCGTGCTGAATTATTTTGATACCCGTTCATGTTCTTCAGTGGATAACACAGTTGTTCCCTACTTATTTTCTCCACTTCGCTTGCAGTTTTAAAAACCTTTAGTCCTCCCTAACGATAAGCTGTAAATCACCCCTCTTCCAGGCTGAAGAGTTCTCTCTGTGTATCTAGTCACTGATCCTGTGTTGTAACTAACTGAATTGTTCACTTGCGTGAAAACAAGAAAAAACAAAACTCAGACTGGTTTTTACTGAATCACTGGTTTGTAACTCACCTTGAGATTATTCCAGTTAATGTCAGCCTCAATGGGAATAAAGTTAAGTCAGAGCAGAGCAAAAAAAACCTCCAAGCTGGCAACTTATTTAAAAGGATAAATAGATTTGAACAAAGGATGAATTAATTTAAATATATCTCCCTTAGAATTCTGAGCTAATCTATTTAATTGTTTTTTTAATACAGAGGAAAACTGAAGCAGGAAGTGTATCTGTCTTCATAATTTCAGTATCCACCGGGGATATGGAGCTATGACTGTTATTTGCCATTTGACAACCTCAGGAAACTCTGCCTGTAAAGAACGATGTTCAAAGGAGGAATGTAGTATCATGGTTTCATCACGCACTGATAAAAATCAGACCCTGTACACATCACCTTCGCAGTTCTGTTGCAAGTTGGACATCCATTTAAAGATGTCTTCACAGGAGCAGAAGCTATGACACATCTACTTCTGTGGAAAACTACAGAAGTTTGCCAGTTTAGAATCAGCAACAGAAAGTTAATCAGGCAAGAAACTAAGATGTGTTCCAGGAAAACGCAGTATGTGATAGTCTAGGATGACACATACCAAGTAGGAAGGTACCCCTTCGGGTAGTCAAGAAAAGAAGCAAATATTTCACATATGAATTATCAGATCACATGAAAAATAGGTGCGTATGAGAAGGAGGTTATAGCAAAGAAGGGAAAAAAAATTCCGGAGAAGACTGGTAACTGCCTGGTGATTATGATGGAACCAACACAAAATTTACCATGCCAATCACCTGTTTAAGACACTGTGCAGCTGGCAGATAAAGTGGTAAGAAATTATACAAACCCATAGAAACATGTTTTTCTTGCCTTTATGGTTGCACAGACTATGTTTACACATTTATGAGCTAACTTTGTGACTAAAGTGAGACTTACAGAGCTAAATAAATGCTCTCCTAAGAGGTCTTTTCAGTATTTTAATCATATCCCACACAAACCTCTACCTCTGCTTGGAAAAATGAAAATGTACTTATCCCTACATGGACTTCTCAATCATGGTTTCAGCCACTTCAAAACAGCAGCAAGAGATAAGCTTGAAATCCAACACTGTTAATATGTTCTAGGACCATCAACACAAAGATGATCAAGGAGTTCAGCTCATTCATTATTATGGGTAGAAAGCCACTTAATGAGAGACAACATAAGAGGAGAACTAACCAGCGACTGGCGGAAGAGGAAACACTTCTTTGGGTCAATACCACAGGCAAGGATGGCAGCAGTGGTGTCCAGTATGTTCTGGTGCAGGACAGCTGGTTCCTTGGGCATGGTGAGAGAGTGCATGTCCATAATGCTGTACAGTACTGAGCTGCACTCTTCCTGCAGATTCACCCAGTTCTGAATGGCTCCAAGGTAGTTACCCAGATGAGGCGTTCCAGTTGGCTGGATACCAGAGAAAATCCGATCCACGACCGTATTCTGTTACAAAGCATTGGTAAAATTAACACATGCATTTTTTGGACAGATTCTTTTATATTTTGAAGTCATTTATTGACTTATGACTGTCGCCCCATCAGTGTATTAACATATAAATTACCTCAGGATTGATTAAGCATAACTGCAGTAAATTAGTCACACTACACTATCCTACTGCAGAGAGACCGACAGCATAATTTTAAGTTGTCAGACTGCACATGTAAACATAGCTGTAAACATGATCAGTGAAAACTAGGTCTCAGAAACCAAGTGATACATTCTTTCATCCTTTTTTGCAAGGAAGCTGTATGTCTCTCTAGTACATTACCCACTCCGATATAGAAACTTAGGATCACAGTGTAGAGAAATTCAAGCATTTCTGTTGTAAACATATGCAATATCCCAGTAGACTGCCATCTTAACTCCCATGAACACTGGAGACTTATTTTTCTAGCTGCAAAGAACATTCTGAGCAGTTCCTGAAAGAAACCTAGTCCTTGACCCAAAGGTCAAAGAATAATTAAAGAGATTATCAATGTTCTGAAACTACCCATCTTGGCAGCAGTAGTTTCTAAAAGGGTTCTACAAAGAAATACTGCTATAGCTCAAGATCATACCTGTAATACTGTGGATACATCACTACCTGTAAAATGTCAACATCTGAAGAGAGTTCACAGAGAACCAGCAAAAAATGATTAAGAAGCTGAGGTTGTGAGCAAAGATTAAAAAGTTTAAAACATGTATAGCTTGGCTAAGTGACAGTTACCATCTTGGAAAATTTGTTTTCCTGCATCCCAGTCCTCCATCTGACCATTTTCTCAGAGCCCCAAGCTGTCAGCATATGATCAATTACCTCCCCGACCTTTCCAGAGAATTCCACCATATTCAGAAGTAACTCAGTAATGTTTGATTTGAAAATGCTTGTTATGTGCCAAGTTGTAAGAGCATGCAAGACTGCTTGACTTATAAATGAGCGTCCCACCAACCTCATCAGGGAGTCCCAGTCACAAAGCTGCACAATACAAACCCTCAGACTCTGTTGTGTGGCAGGAGCATCAACTTCATTATGCCTCTGGCTACACGATTTTTTTTCCTGCTAAATTTTATAAACAACATCTATAACAAAGTAGAGAGAATTTATTTACTGATGTAGTCCGTTTTAATTTCTGTGAATCTCTTACAAAGGGGGGGGGGAGTCATACAACTATGAAACCACACAAAATGGCAGCAAAAGTCAAGAGCAAGTACCATCATTTTAACTGCTGAAAAAAGGACTTCAAATGGGCTTAATTCATTTTGACTCAGACTCAAGAAAAATTAATGAGAAAGTGTTTCCAAGTGGAATAGTTGGGGTTTTTTTTAACATGATCTATAGTTCAGAAAAAGCCTGGCCCATTTCCTTCAAAAAATGCTGAAAAATTCTCTTCGCTTTCAAAGAAAGCCTGTTTTTTAGATCAAGACAATTTTCTTATCCAGTGTTTTAAGTGTTTGCGCTGACAGGTAGGAGCAGGTTTGGGCTAGCAGCCATGATAATTCCTCCCTGCTCACATAAATGCCTATACATTTGCCCTGGTCGAGCTAGGATAGGGTTAAGTTTCCCCAGCAGAGAGGGGGAAGGGATCTCCAGGTGGGTTATTCATACCATGCTGACATCAGTGTGGGAGCAAGGGAAGCTTTTTCCTTTGTGGTTTTGGTCACAGAAAGCACGCGAGCAAGCTGTCTGTAACCACTGCGGTATTTCTCTGTATATCTTTTGTCTTTTTACTGTTATTACTGTTTATTGTTGTTATCATTGCTACTGTTGTTGTTCAAATTGTTATTTATCACACTGTTGTATTAAATTTCTTCTTATTTTAACCCGGGGTTTGTGCCTCACTTCCAGCCCGACCAGCTGAGGGTGGGGGAAGGGCAATAGCAACGTGGTCTCTGGTCCCAGCAGGGCTTAAACCAACACATTTAAGTCCAGGTGGTAACCCCCTCACCCCATCCCAAATATCTTCTTGACTTCTAGTATATTCTTGAGTCAGTTTCTAAGTGCTCTCGGAGAATCTCCAGCACAGGAGCTGCAAGGTAGTCACTGCAATGAAACGCACACCATTTCCTCCAACAGCAATTCTAACTTCCAGTTCTTGTGCTCCAGTCCTTGACCACCCATGTCTCTTTTCTCCATTACACAAAAATGGAATTATGATACTCAATTCCTTGTTTGCCATTTGATCTCTTGTTTTTCTAAGAACCTACATGAGAGCATTTAACACCACTTGCAGAACCTTCCCACCTCCTACCAAGCTACTACCTGGACAGAGGACTGCAGCCATCTTCTTATTAACACTGAGAAGAACCAGATGCTCACCTAGAAAAGGAGGCATACAGCATCCCAACATACATAAATTAAATGAAGTCTTAAAGAAACTCATTGAAACTCAGGGAAATTGGGATTCACAAGGCTTCAGAACTGTACTAAGGGCATAGAACAGTTGTTATGCAATTCAAAAGGTACTTTACAGGCATAACATTTGTATTTTCCTTCCTATGTTTCTGTTCTTCACCAAGAGAATAAGAACTCACAAAGAAAACTTGCCCCTAAATCCATAAACAGATGATCACTAAGATGGTGTTCTGCCCCTAACAGGGATTCCAGAACTTCTGGTTGTTTGTGAGAGCATATTTCCTCTTCTCATCTTCCTGTCTCACTTGACTCAGCTCAAATCCTGATGCTCCTTCGCACAATTATTTCTCCCCACAGTGCTACCTGCTTTACAGTGCCCCTTTATATGCCTGTTTAACCAGGTTTAACTCTTCTACATAGGCTTCTTACAGCTCTACTCTCCATTTTCCTGTCAGTTTCATCCCTCCTGCATTCCTGTATTCTTTTCTTCCTCCACTTGTGGTTTCCACCCCCTGCTTCCCAGAACTGCTCTTGCATGGTATATCAAGACAGTTAGGAGGCTCATAGAATACCATATGGTAAGTAAGCTATTACTGCCTTGACTCCAGTGACTTTATATAAAATATGTTTCCTACCTGCACTGTTAGAATATCTAAGAAACTTCATAATGTTCTAGAAATCCACTATGGATGTGCATCCAATGAAGTATGTTAGGATGACCACATTAAACCATGGTGCAGAAACTTGGACATCTTTCAACTGCAGTCTAGTCAAAGACAGCATCACCTGAAACGTCTCCTGATGTTATTGCTTTCCCTGTGACCCTGAAGCTAGTGCTACTTCAGAGCAAAACCAGATTTACCCCGAGGTAACTGTCTGTTATACCTACCAGAAAGTGGGAACCTCTGTGCAGTCAGCACAGATCAGCTCACGTGCCAACAGCTTGATCCAAAACAAGCTGGCACGCTGAGCCTGTAGAGAACAGTTCTGTCTCCAGACCTTGTCAGTCTCCAAGTCACATGGACTCCAGTCACTTGCAGCCACAGTCCCTGCTTCACATCCTTCCCACAACATGTTTGTTACTGCCTTTTCCTGTTCCTAGATCAATGCTCAGTTTGAAGATTATGTCACTATGAAAATTTTGCCAATACATCCCCTATGATGTCCCCTAATTTGAGTATAATATAGTGACATTTAAATAGGCAGTTTGAGAACATTTTTCACCAATATAAGACATCAGTGTCTCACCAGAAACTGTACATTCAAATTCTTACTAACTGCACGTATTTGAAGGGTTACAATGAGCTAATTAAAGATAGGTTTACTGTAATAATTCATAAGTTAGCATCTGGTGACACCCTACATGTTGGAAAGAAAACACCCAAGCACAACATAAAATGGACAAAGTTTCATAAAAAGAGAGAGCTAAGTTCTCTGTCTATCCAGTAAAGAGAATAACTGTGAAATCAAGCATGGCATCTTTAATAGTGCTTTCACATTCAAATGGTAAACAACTACTTATAAAAGGTTTGTTCAATAGATGGGCAATAAATATCAAGTTAAACACAAGACATGAACAGTAGCAGTATTATACTGAGTCTAAGTTCAGCAATTACTTAACCTAAAGGATGGAATTTGTAGAAACAAGTAAATCCAATAATGAAAACTAAGCTAGGCTGGACCTGGGTAAAGCACTAGCAAATGAAATACAAAGGACAAACGCACACCAGCTCCCAGCTGAGGGACCAGTTGACTAGCAGTCTTTCATCTTTAAGTCCTTTGATTCCATTTAACAACATAAAGCATGAGATGTTACAGCAAATAGAGTGGTATGAAATATTCCATTGTGTTAGCAGAAGTCTATATTAAAAAAAGCCCCCACAAAACACCCTTAAATTAATCTTGGATTTCTAGCACTAAAAATATACAGAGAACATTGCTCCTTTGGAGAGAGTTTATGTTCCCTGTTTGTTCACTCCGTGAAAAGCAGCGGGCAGCATAGCAGCGTGGCAGGGGAGTTCTGCCTGGTACCATGAAATCATGGGGCTGGAATGCACTTCAATGAAGCTGTTAGGTCAGGGGATGGGAGCTGTGTGCTCAAAAGCACTGGAGCTGGAAAAGGATAAAAACAAAAGGAGTGAAGACTTCCCACTGGAGCAGAGTGAAAGCCACAAGACATGGAGCTCCAGCCCACAGGCACTCACTCATTCAGACATCTGTAGTAAGCACAGTGTGAGCCTGCTGTTCGTATGTTTAACTCTGTGTGGTGTGTGCACCTACACCAGTAGTGCTGCATGTTAATCTTCACTCTTGTAGTATCTGACTCTGTAGTATCTGATACATTTTAATGTCTGTTATTTGCTTTCTCTCAGTAAGACAATGGCAATTCCAAATGTCACAGTGCATTTCTCAGCAGTATTTCTAAATGAAGCTTAGCCCAAAACCTACTAAGATTCAAGTGTTTTCTTACCTAACCTCCTTTTTCATGATGAGATAAACAACTGCTGCTTCTTATATTAAAAAACTGTCAACATCCAAATGCTCTCAGATAAGCAGTAATAAGGGTTACCTTCTTGTTCCAGAGCAGGATGGCTAAAGTCTAGCCTTGACACCC